GACAAAGCATATGTACTCAACTATGGTAGGCGAGCAAACCCAGGTAATGATATTTGTTTGCAAAATATCCAGTGTACAGTAATTGCCCAATAACTCAGGCAATGCAAAGCAATTAGACTCTTGTCATGAGGCATGCCAGCTCATTTCCATATAAAATGAAAATGAAATGTAATAGGAGATACCACTGGAACTTGCAAACTCCCCGTTAAATTTTTAACCAATATTTTCATGTAATCTCCCCGTTAGTTTTTTAACCAATATTGCATCACTATTAGAAATCTCATTAATTAACCTGCAATTATATTATTATGCATTGTAATTACATACAGAGCCTGATGCAAGTCTTGACCCACACCAAAGTTTTATTTTTAGTACCGGTATCCAATCAAAATGAGCCAGGCGAAATGTCAAATTATTTCACATAATTTAACAACAAGCTAAATATAGTTACAATCACTAGCTATTTAATCTATAATTATTTAATTATATATAGCACTAACCAAAATATAAAAAAAAAATCATTAAATATGGCATGAATACTCATGCTAGAAGTAGCGAATCAGAGTTAGAACCATAAAGGCAGTTGTAGGACACAAACGTTTAATAATATATGTGATTTATCAGGTCTTCATTTTTCTTTGCCCGCCAGCAGTGAAAAAATGAAGGTCTGGGCACAGGTTATAATCCCATGTAAACAGAGATGAAATTTGCTTCAGTAAAGCAAGTTGTCAAGTTTGGTATTGGGGCTGGTTTGCCTCCAGACAAGCAAACCTCTGTATAAACACTGTAAAATGTCTAAAATGTCAAACTACCTCATCCCCCCCCAACCCCCCCCCCCTCCTGGTATGAACAGCAGTATTAAATAGACACAAACTTTAATTATTATGTTAATACATACAAATCTACATTAACTGTGGAGCCAATTTTCCACTTTATACACTTCTTAGACTCTTCTTGAACTAAACAATATACTACAATGTAAAATATAGATAAATTCCACTTACTTTAGAGCCTAAGTGGGCAGCTCACATTCTCACAGTATAAATATACCTCAATTCTTGTACTCAGTTGAAAGATTAAATTCATTCCAAACCTTGGTAATTAATTCGACTGTAAATTATTTGCTTGCCATCAATTTCGAGGGATATTTCTTCGCATTATTTGTCATTTGCATATAGTGTTTGCATATCCTTGCCGCCATGACTTGAATCGAATGCCTCGTTACGTCACAGTAGACTTTGGTTTGCAATTTGCATCTGATGCGAGCGCCCGCAATCTGCATGCGATGCATCGCTCAGCGGACTAATCTACCGTGACGTAGGACTCTAAAACAATAGCTTTGATGATGTCACAGTAGATTTCACGCGGAAAAGGACTCGGGACCGATGCATTCACTGATGCAAAATGGCTGAAAATCGATGCAAATAAAATCTACCGTTACGTAGTGATGCATCAGCTTTCTACTGTGACGTCAAAGAATACGGTAAAAATAACATATTTTGTCGCGTAATTATTGACGCTTAAGTGTCGCAAAATAAAAAGTAAATAACAGAAAATACACATTTGCGATCGCACGTCGCATATTGGACTTATTTTGACAATTTCGACTGTTATTGAGACTATTTAAATTGGATTTCATCCTAAATAGTGTATTCCTGACATGGACAGTCACATGGAGTCAAGTTTAAGCAAATATTTGCGGTTTGATATATCAAGCATAATATATCCATATATTATTTCAAGCAACATGATTTCTCAATTTTGACCGATGCATTCCCATCGTTCGCATCGGTCTGGATCCGCCCCTGGTTTTTATCGATATATTCATGAATGCTATCGGCTAAAAAATATTAGACGTCCTTTCCAGATTCATTAAATAACAGTGTGAAAAAGTTTTTTACATATGGTCAAAGGATTAAAGCGAAATTTAAATTCCTTGAGAAAACGATTCTTATAGAAAGTGACATGAGTAACTAAGGGGTTTACGTACTTGGTCCCGCTTACGTACCCGGGATTCAATTAAGTTTGACGTATTTTGAGCAATTGAAAGTGATAAGTCGCACTTCATGATCCAACAAAATATTGCTTGTTACAAATTGTATGCAATTTCATGTTTTAGACAAAAAATAAATGTTGTTAAATGCTATTAATCGTCTTCTTCCACTATACATAACTTTTAGCGCCTTCCTAATTTCGTTTAATAAAGTTCAATTTTTGTTTAGAGCTGAAACACGTAATATTTCAATTGCTCAAAATACGTCAAACAATGCAGTGCATAAAACATTGTAGGATACGGCATGGTGCACGTGCATACCTCACATATAATCTTAAAAATTGCGAAAACCTTAAAGGCATGCAGTGTAAACATAATTTATTCGCCCAACGTACTCAAAATACATGCATGCAAGTATGCAGAAACACGTTAACTGCCTTGGTATAGTATACAACCACCGTATTTTCAAACGTGAAGTATTTGAAGGGGTTATCATACTACCATAATCATTTTAATTTTTTTCAACACGTTTGTTTAAATTGATAAAACGGCTTGAGATTATAAATTTATTATTTACAAAATTATCAATTTCCCAAATATATACGTTAGATAGGTTATTTATTGTATAATGCACAATATGAACGTCAACGGATTGTATTATAAAATTGAGCCACATGCGCTTTGCAACACGGTAAGATTATTTTAGCACTAAACTGTCTTTTACATGGGCGTACGGTTCTAATCTTGTTTCGGGAGGGGGGGGGGGGGCACAGTATTGGTTGGCCCAACCGCTTTGCATCATGTTACACAGTATACACATATACAACTTTGTTCCAGATTTTGTCAGGGCCTTTCTTAGGAATTTTCCCGTGGGTATGTATGTATGTATGTATGTAAAACTTTATTTCAATACGCTACCTTCGACAATTATTTACAACTGGCTTCCACGAAGGGCGTATACACACAAAGAGCTAAATGTTAATTATATATAGAACAAAATATGTAAGAATCCCACCCTAAAATTTTATCATCTTCCTCCCAAACCTTCACCCCCTAAACAAATACCCACCCACCCTCACGCAAAACTAACCCCCCTCCCGCCCACAATCTATATTGTCCTCCCATCATTTGGTCGTGGAGAAATTAGCTTATCATCTGCTTAAATGCAATTTCGCCATTGTTTTAAATGACGTAATTGACTCAGCCGCCTTGACATCTTTGGGGAGACTATTCCATAGAAGTGCTCCACTGTATCCAAATGTTTTCTTTAGAAATTCCGTTTTCGGGTTTTTTAACGAGAGATCAGTTTCGCTATTGCGTAAATCATAAATATTCTGCGATGCATTTCTCCGAGAAAAAAGATCTTTAAGGTTTGGCGCAGTGTGGTTCCCCAAGACTTTATACATCAATACTAGCTTGTTTTGTTCTCGTCTCCTAGCCAGGGTTTCCCAGCCTAATTTGTTTAGGACTTCAGACGATCTTACATCGTAGTCAGCTCCGGTAATCACCCTTGCTGCTCGATTTTGGAATTTTTGCAATTTGTCTTGAAGTCCCAAACCACAGTTATCCCACAGGGGAGAACAGTAATCAAAATGAGGCTGAATTAATGTTTTGTAGACATCATGTAAGGTTTTGTGTGGAACATAAGGTTTTATTCTTTTAATTGCTCCTATTCCAGCGCTAATCTTCTGAATCAATATGTTTCTCCCAACTTAATTTTCATCTAGATTTACACCTAGACATTGAAATGTATTGGTTTGTGGGACTGGGATTTTGTTAATCCCAACGGGTCTATTTCCTATTTTATTATTTAGATTATGCGTAGATCCAATAAACATGACTTTTGTTTTTTTCCTATGATATTTTAGTTTGTTTTTAGCAAGCCATTTATGAATACTGGAAAGGTCCATATTCAAATTGTCAATCAATGTATCGTAATAATGCGAAGAGGAAGATATCTGAGTGTCGTCGGCATAAAGACATGGGGTTGTCCTTTCTAAAATGTCAGGCATATCATTAATATATAGCAAAAACAATAATGGACGAAGTATGGATCCTTGCGGAATTCCGCATATTATTGTTCTTGCAGAAGAAGTTTGATCATTAACAGAACACACTTGCTTTCTATTCCTTAAGTATGATTGGAACCATTTTAATTCAATGTCGTGAATTCCAAACTGGGTTTTAAGCTTCTCCAATAATATCTCGTGATTCACCGAGTCAAATGCTTTACATATATCAAGAAAAACAACTCCATTTATTTTGCCTTCATCCATGTCTTGTAGCCATTGATCACACATTTGTATAAGAGCACCTAAGGTTCCATGTTTTGGTCTAAACCCGGATTGAAATTTAGACAGAAGCGCATGTTTATTCAAAAAGCTATATATTTGAGTGTAAACGGGGCTTGAAAGGTTGTGGTCACTTAACGTATGACGGAACCCGAATTAAATGGTCGCAGGATCTTCAATTACTAAAGAATTTCGTTGAAAATATTGTCGGCCTACGGGGCAATTGGTCATCGCCTGGTGGTAAAGCTAAGAGGTTTACCAGCTTAAATTTCGATCTGATCGCCACGTGGTACCCGGGAAAACAGAATTCGCTATTATTCCAAGGAAAGGATGGTGATCTGCTCAAGATTTATCTGGTGAGTGTCTTAGATATAAATTGTGCTGGCCAAACAACCACGGATACGGATACTGATTTTATGACCAACATAGCGGATTCGGTATTTGAAACAGAGACTGCAGAAATATCTCCAGTTAAAACATGCGAAATTATCACTGACAATAACCCGGCAGTTGCTGAATCGACCCCGTTCAAACATCTCAGTTGGTCGTACAATACTTTTACCAACGATATGAAAGGGGTTAAAACAGACATAGCAGTTATGCAAAAACAAATAACACATATAAACAATATTATTAACTCTACCAACGCGATTATAGAATCTATTAGTAAGGTTTTGGCCTCTACCGAAAACCGTCAAATGTCGTACGACACCAGAATGGAGACCTTGCTTAAGGAGTTTTCCATAATTTTAGACGAGAAACACAGAGCGATAAACGAGCGAGATATCACTATTAAACAGCTTCAAGAGAATTTGTTAGAAATTGAAAATGAAAGAAACTCATTAAAACTTAAGAATTTACCAACCAAGCATATTGACAATAAAAGTAAGACTGCCTCGCCGCCAATGCAGCCCTTGATGTGTCAAATGAATAATATTGAGGATTTAATCAACTTGTCCAAAATTAACGATCCATGTGATATTGAAACCGATGTCTTGGGCGATGCATCCATATCCGATGATATGCTGCTAAGTCCAAATACTTCTACTATAAAGGAACTCGAGGCCTTTATTGACAAGTCTTTCTATAGCGCCTCTAAACCGAAAAAAGAACACTCTCGGGAGGCTAATTTAAGCGGCCAAATCTCCATTTTGTTAGAGAACAGTATGGTTAGTCGCGAACAAGCTCTTCCGGTTTTTATGCAGGCTGAAATAAACAATGAAATTCCTCAAAGCGTGTCCCCACCAGGAAATGATAATGCTACATCAGATTTGGAAAACAATAAATCAGAAACACAAAGCATCGAACAATTCAAGCCAACGACGACGACGACGACGACGACGACAAAAGCCATACATAAAAAAGGTGAGAAAAACAGAGCAGGGCAGAATAGAACAATGCGGAATAAAGAGAAGTTTGGTAATAAAGTAAATAACGATAACGATAATTCAAGCACGCATTCATTAAAACCAAAACAAAAAGGGGAAATAAAGATTAACAAAAACAACACGCCTCCTACTTCTAACAACCATCGCGAAATTTCGGAAATTGCATCAGTTAATATAGACAGATTCAAAGATAATCAAACGTAACTGGTCGTGACTGATACTAATGTTCCTTCGAACACTTTGTCTAATGTTAAGAGAATCAAAGCCCATAAAATTCGATCAAAAATAGTATCGCTACCACCAAACTGGTTGGGAAATCTACCATTAATTGATCTACCTTCTCCAATCAATCGAACTGCCGAGGAATCTCACAGTCATGTAGAAGAACGCCCGAATTCTTTTTCCCGTTACGGCCGGAAACGTCGCCCACCGGGCTGGCAAGTCTATTTAAATTTCGTGTCACGACACACACAGAATGTACCGGAAACGTAACACACGTGCTACACCATAACTATCGAGTAAATACGGAACCAAAGCATATTCTTGTTATATCCACCACCTCTGTTGACACTAAGATAACTCAAAAACATAGATCGAGAAACCGGAATAATCTTGTTGAAATCCCCTTAGAAACCCCAGCCAGAACCGCAAATATTAGGTCAAAATTTGCATATCTTCCTGCCTTTTTACTTTCAAATGTGATGTCGCTGGCTCCGAAAATTGACGAAGTGCGTGACGTCATATACCGAGGAAATTACGACTTTGATAGTTTAGTCGAAACTTGGCTGCAGGGCCACATTCACGACAACGTTGTCGACATACAGGGATATAACCTTATTCGCAGAGACAGGTGCGAACGTCAACATGGCGGGATCTGTATATATATTAAAGATACCATAGAATTTTCAGTGTTGGATGAATTATTTGACAGCTGATTCGAAGTATTATGGATTAACAAGCGTCCAACCCGACTGCCGAGGGGATTTACTAATTTGATTGTTGGAATAGTGTATCACCCACCAAGTGCGGAAAATGCAGCTATGCTGAATTATCTATCAAACTGCTTATCAATAATGGAATCGCGTTTCCCTAATTGTGGCTTTATTATCCTTGGTGATTTTAATAAACTTAATACCTCACGTCTAAGAACTGGCTATGATTTAAAACAGCTTGTCAATTTTCCAACCCGCGGAAACAATACCCTTGACATTGTTTTAACAAATCTTAACGCATTCTTTGATCAACCTACTAAGTGTGCCCCCTTTGGGTTATCAGACCATATGTCTATTGAGGTGAGACCAGTCGAGCGTCGTAATATCCAAGAAAAGTCAAAACTTACGGTAAAAACGAGGGACTTGCGGCCTAGTTCCCGTCTTGCAATGCGTAAATATCTTGAGCTTGTAGATATCCCAGAAATGCTTAGCAGAGTTGATTCTTGTGATGAAAAAGCCTCGCTTCTGGAAACTATTGTTAAAACTGGCTTAGATTATGTCCTCCCATTACGAAGGAAAAAGATTAAATCTAACGATCCCCCCTGGATGAACTCGACACTAAAGAGCCTTATTATAAATCGTCAAAAAGCTCTCAACCAGGGAAATATCGAGGAGTTCAAACGTTTGAGGAACCAAGTCAATCGCCAGAGGAAAATCTGCCGAGCTAAATATTACAAAACCACTGTTCAACATTTGAAACAATGTAAGTCTAATGCTTGGTGGAACGAGGTAAAAAAACTCAGCGGTATGAAAGTAGTTGAGGAAAACTCTGATAAGATTGTGAAAGCCTTAAGACCCAATGATAGTTCTTCCAGTGCAGTAAAGAAAGACTTAGCAAACGAGATTAACAATACCTTCTTGTCCCCAATGTCCATATTCGCACCTCTTTCCTTGGATCTTCATCGTCGTTCCTGCACTGAAAGTGTGCTGACAGACACTGTACTTACCGTGTCGTCCGATGTCGTCTTTGAAAAGCTTTCAAAACTTAATCCAAAAAAAGCTGTTGGCCCTGATGGTATACCTCCGTGGTTACTGAAGGAAAATGCCGACTTATTAGCCGGTTCGGTAACGGATATCCTCAATTGCTCCTATCGTGAATGTTGCCTTCCCCCTTCATGGAAGGAGGCGGACGTAGTCGCAATCCCAAAGGAAAAATCTATTCAAGATATTAACAATCATTTGCGACCGATCTCACTTACACCAATATTGTCAAAACTGGCGGAAGATTTCGTTGTGAACCGTTATCTGAAACCAGCAGTGATGGAAAGGATCGATAAGAGACAGTTTGGTACTGTGCCTAAATCTTGCACCACACATGCCCTCATCTCCATGTTACATACCTGGACCAAAAATACAGACGGAAATGGCTCTACTACCCGCGTTATGTTGTTTGACTTTCGGAAAGCTTTTGATCTGATTGATCATAACATTTTATCGGAGAAGCTTACAAGATATAACATTCCTAAAACCATTATGTACTGGATTTTAGATTTCCTGAGTAACCGCAAACAGAGAGTGAAACTGAGTAATGACTGCTTCTCAGAGTGGAGTGATGTACCCGCAGGTGTCCCTCAAGGCACGAAGTTAGGCCCCTGGCTCTTCGTAATAATGATAAACGATCTAAATGTATCTGGTGTTGACGGTCTGTGGAAGTATGTCGATGATGCAACTATGTCTGAGTCCGTAAGTAGAAATGACTCAAGTTTAATCCAAAATTATGTAGACGAATTTACCAGAAAGTCAATTGCAGATGGCCTCCAATTAAAAGAAACCAAATGCAAAGAGCTCCGGATAAGCTTTTCTAGGCCTAACAAAGTATTTGAGCCCATAACTATTAATGGTAAAAATGTTGAGGTTGTAACATCCACAAAATTACTGGGCCTTACCATCTCTAATGATCTCAAATGGAACACTCATATTTCGAATACTTGTAAAAAGGTATCAACACGGCTATATTTTCTAAGGCAATTAAAACGTGCCAAATTGCCACCCAACGATCTGGTCCTGTTTTATATCACCTGTATTCGTCCAGTTGTCGAGTACGCGTGCGAAGTATTCCATAACTCGCTGCCGCAGTACCTGTCCGATGATTTAGAAAAACTTCAAAAACGTGCTTTTCGCATAATTTTTCCTGATATGCACTAGAAAGATGTCTTGGAGACCAAGAACATTTTGTCACTGAACGATCGAAGACAAAAATTAACAACGAAGTTGTTTAACGAAATAGCCAGCAACTCACATCATAACTTATACGACCTCCTTCCGCCATTAAATATTGACGATCATCTTTTAAGGAATCATAGAAATTTTGAACTTCCTGTGTGTAAAACGAACAGACTTAATGATAGTTTTATCATGTACAATTCTAATATATATTTTAGATAATCGATTTGTTTTTTTAATATTCTTAAATGTAAATAGGGTTCATAGGATATATTCCTAATATCTTATATCTGTTAAACTTAGCGTAATTCAGCTGTGAAATTTTCTGAGGCTGTAAGTTCGAAAGTTCAATAAACCATCTATCTATCACTCTATCCAATTGTGGGATCCGTATATCCGTAGTTTTATAGCTTTGCACTTTCAAGCATTCTTACAACGCGGTTGAAAAAAACATGCACGATCCGGTGGATACACATTCATACGACATATGACCCCTTCTCACCTAGTTCAATGTTGTTGAACAGGCCCCGGAACAACTTTTGTTAATTTACCATGCCACAAACTCAATACTCAGTTAGCGGAGCGGGGCTTAAGAAGTGCAATATAATTTAATATGGAATTTATCACAAGGGATAGACGTATTCATTGTAGAGAGAGAAAGGTAGTCTCAACTAGTTATGTCCAATATTGACATTTATTGTAGTTCGTCTGTACATTGACCCCGGGATCTCCGTCGCATCTGCATGTCTCTTTTTCAAGTATTTCAATAAAGATTATCCTTACAACATTCTTTAAGTGGTTCGGAAGGTGTAATGAAGTGAAAAAAACATTTGCCGTGAACGATACAACAACATTTCGCATATTCGGACCGTCATGTTTGTGGGGGTTTCCATGACAGAGTTGCTCTTCACTTTTTAAAATTGCTAAAGGCCAATCTTTGTTAAGAAAACAGAATTATACTTAACGTGTGTTAACTGTACAAATAAAACGAAGCATACTCGCGATAAAATTATGTATATGCTCAAACAAGTTATTAAACGCAATGGATTTTAAATATAAAATATCTTTCATACATCGAAACCATGTGGTAGATCATCATCCTTAAAGAAACGGAAAAGTTAAAAATTAGCATATAATTTGTATTGACGATATAAGCTTAACGAAAAACAAATTGAGTGAATAAAATCCTTATTAAAATTATATAAATTTTCCTGACACAGACTAAAAAAGGAGTTTCATTTCCTCTCAGGAGAATTTTCCGCAGAAAGACAATTTTGTAACATGTGATTGGCCGACACACATTTTCCGTCGGAAAAAAATTGAAGTTGAAAATTTTCAACTTTTAACAAAGATATTTTCCGAAAATTTTATAATAATAAAAGGCCGGTAATCAATAAATATAGAATGTCTGAAATTATGCAGTCTTTTTTCATTGTATACGCAAGGATCAGTTTTTAAAACAATTATAAAGCAAACAATACATCAATATTTAAAACAAACTTAAATTCATTATTAACGTTGGCGTCTTTGCTCCCTTCTTTGAGCCGTGAGTCTCTCGGCTTTTTTTTCTCAAAAAGCTTTTGAAATTTACAAAATCTTGCAAAAATGAAATATATTTGCAAGAAATGTTTGTTATTTCGCTGTCGTCATGCAGTCGTTATAATGCAATTTTTAAATTTAACCAATCAGTGTTCTATATTCATGACAGTCCGCTATATTTTGACATCAGTGAGGATGACCACCCACCTACCACCACTCTACCACCCAACTAGTATTGATGAACTTTAGACTCGAGGATTAAATTTACAGATAAAAAGGGTAATTAGTATGATATTGTTTTGTACAAGTGAAACCGGCAATTTATATAAACAGTTTTGTTATGTGATGGTAATTGTTCTTAAGTGGCTCCCTACAGTTGTTAGAATGGAGACAGATTGGTAACGAAAATGACGTATTGCGCTTGCTGGGAAAGTCTTGTGTGCTGCGGGAAAATATTGCGCGGTGCGGGAATTATGCGGCAGCCGGTTGTTCGAAAGTTGGTTAGCTTAATCCTGGGTTAACAATCTTCCCAACAGGTAAGCAATCTTCCCAACAGCTTGTTTGTAAACTTAGTTTTTCCAGAAATATTGTCTGGATCAACACAGGTCTTATTTTCCTATGTTTTCAAGGAAAGAGACTTTGCAGAACCCAAATACACAAACCAAAACAACAGGTTAAATTTTAACCTAGTGTTAGTATACTAATCCAGCTTTGAACAACCTGCCCCTGAAGTTTTAAATCCAAATAGATAGCAAAACAAACATGGATATGCCATTTAATAATCGTTTATCTTCCGACAAATTTGGAAAAATATCGGCATGAAATCTCAGTAATACTTCCAAACTACACGAAGGACTGCAACATTGAATAAGAAAGACACATGCAGTCTGGAAGTGAAACGGTGAAAACTGATCCCGACGAAATTTCCGAAATATTTTATGCCTCCGTTTATACCTCCAAAAAGGACTTGATTTTGCATTAACAACGCAATATTTATATAGTGTGACGACTTTATTTTTCCCTGTTGTTTCTTATTATTTTCTTATTATTTTCTTATTATTTTCTTATTACTTTCCCTTATTTTTCCCTGTTGTTTCAATATTTATATAGTGTGACGACTTTATTTTTCCCTGTCGGGAGCCACCTGAAATGCGATTGTATTTAAGGATTTCTACACTGCTAGTAATTATATGTGGTCGTTTCCTGAATGTGAGACAGTGCCAAGCTTCAATTCTGTTGTGACAGTTGTTTGCTTTGCCGAGTCTATCACTATGAAAATTACTAGGAACTTAACATTAAGATGACGTGGCCATTCTAAAATGTTTTGCTTTGTGTTATGTTTGATGGGAAACAACCCTCAAAGTTGATAGAAAACAAAAACTCACAATGCCCGTGAAATTCATAAGGTTGTTATGATACAAATGTAATACACCCTTATACACAATGTTTTAAATACTTTGTTAATTTCATAATTCCCAATTAGTCATTTCAAAAAAAAATTTTTTTGTTAATTTCATAATTCCCAATTAGTCATTTAAAAAAAAAACACATTTTGTCAAGAAATATCAAATACTTACATTTTCTGACTCAACTTGAGGCGACTCTTCAAAAACGTCTTCGGGGAGATCACGCTTCGTTCGTTTTCGAGGCGGTGTTTTTGACTACAGTTGCATTAAAAAAATTATATATTCTTTAACTTCTTATTTATATCGCCAACTTGGTATACGTAAGGCAACACCAAAAGGCGATTTCAAACTTAGACAAGGAACAATCAGCTTTGGCAGACCATGCATTGTGTTTAAAAAAGCCATTAATGCATTAATGTACCACGTTAATATGTGAGCCATAGGAGTATCTTCACTTGTTGAGGGATGACGTCATCCCTCGAGTACATCAGGAGTTGTATTGCAAAATTAGGTAACCGATGATTTTAGACCAAAATATTAAAACATGGGTCGTGAATGTGATTTTTACGAGGATTTAATTCAATTCAGAACAAGAATGGGGAAACTTGTAAAGCTTTCTTCAACATTTATTATAATATTTGATCATATAGAGCTTCTTTTATCACCATGGCAACCGCAACGTTCTGTACCATAGTCAATCACAAGGTTCCACATGGCTTGGTTATTTCTACAAGGAGATATAATGTCATACCTTAGGTGATTCCATGGGACTTGTTCTTTCCTCGTCTTCACCAGACTCCTCTTCCGCTTCTTCCACAGGTGACACCGCGCTATAATAAGAAACGTCAATATTCTTATTTCTGTCAATTTTCTTGAATAAAAAACTATTTCTAATCCTTACAATCTTAATCCCAATCCTATCTCTAATCCTTACAATAACTCAATCCTAACGTACCCAACATACCAACACGAAACTGTGCGCCAGAGGTACTGTGACGTAATTCAGGACATTCGAATACAAGCCACAAAAAGTTCTCAAGTAAAGAAGAACGTGGATACGAGGGAAAGCGTAGTTCAGGAACTTTCTCCTGGGCGGGGGTGTTCACAACCCAGGATATTGAAGGGTTAAGAATAGGATCATGTGTAGGTTAGGAATAAAAAACAGGTTAGTTAAAGGGTAGGATAAGGGAAAGAATTTGGGTTAGATTTCAAATTAGGTTGAAGAAACGGATTAGCATTTTCCTCTTTTTGAAAGGCTTCTTAAATTCATCCCCACGGTTAATTAAATTGCGCCCGAACAATAAGCCACGAGGTTCCCCCGTCGGTTACGTGATGTAGTAGGTAGTGACACATTATAATTTGGTTAGAGCTTAGTTGTAACTTATGACTTCAAGCCTCCCAAGACCAGTCCCCACAGCCGCCACCTTTACAACCACTACCGCATTTCTATTTCAGGTACAGGTCACAGTTCAAAACGACCAGCAAAAACAGGGCTAACCGGTTACCACTTGCTGAGGAAAGACCCTGTAGAAGCCGGTCACGTGACCTGCTAAAATCTAGTAGATTTCTAATTAACTATCCTGGATTCCTTTAAAATTAAATCAAATCAAACTTGCAAAACAAAATGCAAGTTATAAATTAAAGTATAAAATTAATATCAAATATTTATCAACATCATCACCATCAATGGACCATTTGCATTATACAGGGTGTATCAAAATAAACGCAATTCATCTTTTGTGCTTAATAACTTTCGAAATACTATTTCTAGTTAAACGCTTTTAGGCTTACTTCAAAGCCTGTTCTTTTCTCTTTCAAACAAACTATTATCCTTGTCTCCAATGCTAGTAATAATTGCACAGGAAAAGATTTAGTAAAACCTATCATTTTTAGTTGCTGTTTAATTATGCAAGTTTACTATGTTATTATTTAGTCGGTTTAAATGTTAGAATTTTCTTCTTTAAACTTTAATGTTGTCGTCACTACATCTGGAAAACCACGTAAGAACAAATTAAAGTATTTTAAAAGAGACCAGGTTGTTTGAAAATCTAAACGAATGCTAAAAATCATCAAAACATTCTGGTGTCTGAGCCAGAGTGTCATCGAATTGCGATGTAATGTAAACAGAAATTATAGCAAGTTGATGTCAGTCAGCTTAGATAGTCCAAGCCAAAATTATATCGCATTTGAAGTTTCAAACTGAGTTAAAAATAGTGGAAGAAAAGCCGTAATTATACTTATTGTTACAATCCATTTAATAAAATGCAACATTTGTTTGTTTTAATGAAAAAATCAGTTATTTTCATAAGAACGATTTGTTATTCCATCTCAATTTTTTTAATCTCCAATCGCAATAACGTAAAGTATTATTACCCGCGAACCAATGAGTCAAATTTAAATTAAGAAACAACCCACTGTTAGAAAGCTGAATGGATACGCTTTAAAATGAATGTAAACTT